GTTCTCCGGGGAGGGGGGGTGAGTCACGGCGCGTGCGTGTGCGTGTGTGCGCGCGTGTCCCGGGCGCCTGGGTTCCCTGAGCGTGCGCGTGTCAGTGCGGGATGGAGCGGTTGTGTATCTGTGTGTGCTTGTGTATCAGTGCATGTGCCGCTGTGCGTGCGTGTGTGTGCACAGTCATGTGCATGTATCAGTGTATGACCGGGCGATTGTGTAGCTGTGCGCGTGACGGCGCGTGCGTGTGCGTGTGTGCGCGCGTGTCCCGGGCGCCTGGGTTCCCTGAGCGTGCGCGTGTCAGTGCGGGATGGAGCGGTTGTGTATCTGTGTGTGCTTGTGTATCAGTGCATGTGCCGCTGTGCGTGCGTGTGTGTGCACAGTCATGTGCATGTATCAGTGTATGACCGGGCGATTGTGTAGCTGTGCGCGTGCACGTGAGTGTGTATCAACGTGTTTGTGCGTGTGTGTCAGTGCGTGATTGAGCGATTGTGTGTCTGTGTGTGTGCACGCGCGCACGGGAGTATGTGCGTGTGTGTCATGGTGTACCAGTGCATGTGTGTCACTGTGTGTGTGTGTCCCGGATGCCTGGGCTCCCCCTGCGTACATGTCAGTATAAGCGTGTGTGTGTATGTGTGCGCACAATGATGTGCATGTATCAGTGCATGACTGCAATTGTGTATGTGTATATGTGTGCATCTGAGTGTACACAGTGGGGGTGACTGTGTATGTGTGTGTATGGGCTACCTGGGTTCCCCATGTGCGCCCGAGCATGTCACTGTGTGGGTGTGCAATGGTGTGCGTGTCACTGTGTGCATGCCCAATTGTGTATCTGTGTGTGTTTGCATGACAGTGTGTGCAATGGGGGGTGTGATTGTCCATCATTGTGTGTATGTATGTGTGTGTGTGTGTGTGTGTGTGTGTGTGTGTGCATGAAATGGTGTGCAGGCATCAGTGCATGACCACAGGACTGCATCTGTGTGTGTTCACGTGCACATGAGGGTGTGCCATGGGGGGTGATTATGTATCCATTCACGTGTGTCACTGTGCGCAAGTGCTTGTGTCTGTCTCCTGTGGGGGTTGTGGGAGTGTGAGTGTGCTGTTGTGCAAATGCAATTGTGCATGTGTGTGATGTATTGAGTGTGATGCTTTGTGTATCAGGGGTGCAACGTGTGCGTGTGATTGTGTGCGTCTCCCTGTGCAACTGTGTCTTGTGGGGTGTGTGAACATGCAATGATACGTGCATGTCAGGGCGGGTGATTGTGCAGTTGGGTGTCTATGTGTGGGCACATGTGTGTGCAATAGTGTGGGTGAGTGTGCAATTGTGCACGTGCCTGCAATTGTATGCTGGTGTGTGCGGGTAGTTGCATGTATGATTGTGTGTACATGTCTCATTGTGCGAGTGTGTGTGCATGTGTGTGTTTGTGCAATGGCACATGTGTTTGCATGCAATTGTGTGTGCATGTGTGTGCCATTGTGTGACACTGTGTGTGTGCACATCTGAATGTGCGCAATGGTGGGTGGGTGTGCACGTGACTGCGTGTGTATGCACGTGCCATTGTGCAATGCTGTATGTGTACACGTCTGTGATTGTGAAATTGTGCAACTGTGTGTGTGTGAGATCATGTGTGCATGTATGGGGAGCTGTGATTGTGCATTAGTGTGAGCATGAGTGTGTGTGCGTGCAATTGTGTATCTGGCTGTGTGATTGGATGTGCACCTGTTTATATATACCTACGTGTGTGTGTGATGGTTGTGTACCAGTGTTTGTGTATGTCTGTACAATTGTGTATCTGTATGTGTGTGCAACCTCATATCCCTGTGTGCGTGAGTGGGTGTTGCTCTTGTGTGTAGCCACATGTGTCATTATGTGTCTCTGCGTGTCATTGGGTTGTGTGCTTGTGCATGATTGTGTAACCCCATGTATGTTGCTGTGTGTGTGCTGTTGTGTACTGGTGTGTGTGTACTTCTGTGTCCCTGCACGTGTGTGGGCATTGCCCTACATACAAGGGCACAGTGACACACTTGCTGCAATGCACATGTGTACAGCTGCACATGCACACATACGATTGCACACCGCTACGCAATGACACAGGATCAGAGCAACGCACCAGAGCACATGCAGGTACACAACGGTGCACTGACACATACTGACACACACACTAATGCACAATCAGTCACACACACACCAATGAATAACTGCAAATATGTGCACAACACCCAGACACACACAGAACCACACATGCACACAGTCACACACCCTGACACACAACTGTGCACACACATATGCACGATTGCACATGCACACACAGTTGCACCCCCGGAATACACAAGTGCACACACACGCTGACGCACAATTGCACATGCACAAACACACAATGGTATATGTACAGACCGTGCATGCACACACACTGAGACACACAAGCACCCACAGGATCAACTATCACACTGCCACACACACATACATACACTGATGTCCAACCCGCACAAACACACGCACAGATAGCACCCCCAACACACATTGACACACACACACGGATGCACCCCTGCACACACAACGCCCCATTCCCACTCGTACACACACAAAGATACACAATCCCACACAGACACACGCTGAAGCACAATCGTGCCCAGTGAAACACAACCATGGCTTCACACACAGCGCTGCACACCCCGCACGCGCCAGGAGAGGTACCCGTGCACACATGCAGAGGTGCACAACTGTGTGTGCATCCACACACACACCAGTGCACAATCGCACACGTGTGTACAAGCTGACTGGGGCCCACCCACCAATCCCACACAGACACACGCTGAAGCACAATCGTGCCCAGTGAAACACAACCATGGCTTCACACACAGCGCTGCACACCCCGCACGCGCCAGGAGAGGTACCCGTGCACACATGCAGAGGTGCACAACTGTGTGTGCATCCACACACACACCAGTGCACAATCGCACACGTGTGTACAAGCTGACTGGGGCCCACCCACGCAGGGCTATGCAGTAACACGGCTCTTTGTACAGGGGGGTGTG